TAACTGTAATACAGTGAATAGAGAGACCTGTATCAGCTGCATGGAACCTATGATTTGTGGTGTCCTGGGTGTTTTGAGGTTTATGCCATACTTAGTGTGGGGAATTTTGGTCCTACTTTGGGAGCCTTATTTGCTTGTATCTGGATAATGGAGTGACTCAAGGGAGTCCCAGAGTTTTTTTGCTTGAGACCTACTATTTTACCCTATTGTTTTCTTCATCTTTACATAACTCAAATCCCAGAATTCATCAGAATGTGATTTAGATGCTATTTCCTCCATCAAGTCATCCCTTATCTTACCAGCCAAACATAATTTCTTCTTCCTCTGAATTTCCACAGCACTTTATCAGTGTCTCTCTTATGTTACTTAACACATTCTGCCTTGTATTATAATTATTTATGTTTGTGTCTTATCCCGGTTAAGCTTTTTGTGGGCAGAATGCCAGTCTGTTTCATCTTTATTCTCAGAGGGCATGTTGTACGTATAGTAGGTGTTCAATAAATAATTATTGAGTTAATTCTTAAAAATAACGTTGCTAAAGTGGACATTGCCAATACCTATAATTAATCTTTAAAGATGCCCAGTCAGTAAAGCAAAGTGAGTGGAATTCCCCTCTCCATAGCATATACCTTTTTGTTCCTTTTTCCCTTTCATGTTGCCTTTGATATTAATTTTTACCTAAACTCAATCCGTATAGTATGGAGGTGTTTTAAACTCCAGCTGGGACCTTAAGAACTACCCTGAAGCCTATAAACATTATTTCTAACAGGCTTATTGTTAGATATGGGCTTTATATTAAAAACAGCATGTTTATATAGGTCTGAAGTTTTCGGCTGAGCTGTCCTTTCTCCAGATATCCATTTGATTTATCTTATTCCTTCAAAAACCTCATAAAATTCTAATGTGGGGGACCATAACTTCCTGGGGCTGTGCTTCTCAACCTTTGAGGTGGGAGTGGGGCTCGAGAGTGATTACTTTTACAATATTCTCCTATTTATTAATAATACTTCTCATTACATGAAGTCATTTTCTATGGGCCATTTGAAAATAACTGCTCTAGACAATCTTATGAATTCTCTGAAATTATATGTAAAATTTTTTCAGGAGAGACAATATTCATTATTTGAATATCAAAATATTGATAAAACCATAAAGGTAAGCATCCATTGCCTTGAAGTGACATTAATTTTTTAAATAAATGCATGTTGTCCAGGCAAGGTGGCTCACGCCTGTAATCCTAGCACTCCGGGAGATCAAGGCAGGAGGATCACTTGAGGTCAGTAGTTCGAGACTAGCCTGAGCAAGAGTGAGACCCCATGTCTACTAAAAATAGAAAAAATTGGCTAGGTGTGGTAGTGTGCACCTATAGTCCCAGCTTCTCTGGGAGGCTGAGGCAGGAGGATCACTTAAGCCCAGGAGTTTGAGGGTGCAGAGAGCCCTGATAATGCCACAGTACTCTAGCCCAGGTGACAGAGTGAAACTGTCTCAAAAAAAAAAAAGCATGTTTATTATTAATAATTGTTTTTTGGTTTTGGGTTTTTTTTTTTTTTTTTTTTTTTGGAGACAGAGTCTCACTCTGTTGCCCCAGCTAGAGTGCTGTGGCATCAGCCTAGCTCACAGCAACCCCAAACTCCTGGGCTCAAGCGATCCTCATGCCTCAGCCTCCCAAGTAGCTGGGCCTACAGGCACACGCTACCACACCCAGCCAATTTTTTCTATTTTTAGTAGAGATGGGGTCTTACTCTTGCTCAGGCTGATTTCAAACTCCTGACCTCATGTGATCCTCCTGCCTCTGCCTCCTAGAGTGCTAGAATTACAGATGTGAGCCACCACACCTAGCCACGTTTTTATGCTTTTCCCGGGATTCTTTATTGCCCTAAGGATATATTTTTGCATCATACCTGGGTGATGGCAAAAACTCCAAATAGTCAGTGATGGTGAAAGATACATTTCTCAAGTACAAAACAATTTATTTACTTAAAAATTTTATACATATATTAGAAAAAAGTGGCTCTTTTAAAGCTACCTGATTTACCACTCTAAAAGTAATCAACTGGTACATTTTATGCTCGATACCTCTATGTATGTCTAAAATATTTTCTGATCTTGTTCCTTTAAAAAAGGAACTAATGTACAAAACATTCTTTGAGAGAACCTTGAGAGTATTTATGATTTAAGACTTTTTAAAAACTTTTTCGTTATGTGTAAAATAAAAGTAACTTTAAGCTGGGATAAATGAGGTAAGTTTCAATGTAGAGTCGATAGACTCAGAAACATAAGCAAAATTGTATTACTCACTTAAATCTACTTCTTTCTAAACTTGGGTTATTGTTTAGAAAATGGAGCAGTTGGTAGTATAATTGGTCCTTGAACAACACAGATTCTAACTGCGAGGATCCACTTACGGGGATATTTTTTCAACCAAACGCTGATTGAAAATACAGCGTTGTGGAGTTTGAAACCTGCCTGTGTGGAGTGCCGACTTTTGACATCTTTGGATTCCACAGGGCCAACTTTGGAACTTGAGTGCATGGATTTTGGTGTATGCAGGGGTCCTGGAACTGATCTTCCACATATACGAGGGTTGATTATATCAGCTCTTGAGATTTCACATGAGAAAACCTGCCCCATGTTCACTGAAAATAAATTAATCAGCAAAATCTGTTCAGTGGGGGGAAACTATTTGTGCAAGGTATAGGTCAAATACTTTTCTAGTATATTAATAAATTGTTTTTACCTTGCTGCTTGGAAATAAGCCTAACAGTAATTGTCTCCCAGATACCTCCATTACCTATTCTTGATATATAGGACATTGTATTCTCCTGTAATTATTATAAAACTATATTGATATACTGAAACTATAAGAGTATTTGTTTCAATTGACTAGTTTTTTCTTTAAGCTGCTCACCTGTAGGGGACAGGTTTATGTAAAGCTGAAAAGCCTGACCAGTAGGATTTTGATATTTAAGAGGTTGTGTCTTAGCATTGAGGTTTCCCAATAGTTTAAATAGTCTTTTTCTTGGTTGTGCTTGTGAACTCTTGGGTTCCCGCACTGAAGAGATTGTTAACACTGTACTTAATTTTCTTACTCCCCTGCTAATGCCATTTCAGGTCTCCCCTTCTTCTGTTAGAGCTTTATTTGTTTTGTTTAGTGAAATGTCAAATGCTAAAAGGAGGCTGTTACATCTTGATCATTGCCTAGTGTAAAAAATGTTTCTATGTGAAACATTGGGTCATTTATGTTTTCATTTTACAGATTGTTTGGATGTTAGAGAGTAGGATAGAGTGGATGGGAAATTAGTCAAAGAGCAGAAGATAAATTTAGACTCAACTAAATTAGGTTCATATTCTAGATAAAAATGAAAGGAAAGGTCAGGGGCTTCTTATATCTTTAATATTTTTAATCTGCCTGACCACACTTCTGTTTTGGCTGTGGAAATCTCTGTTCTTTTTAGAAAAAGTTTGAAACTATTCTTTATGGGTCTGCCAAAGCAGAGAGCAACCCAGTTCTGAGTCACAGACTCATTAATAATGTATGTGTAGTTTGGGGAAAAATGCAGAGATGCCAAAACTTACCAAGTTTTTCTATAGGTATATTATTTAAAAATAGAAATAATAGCTTTATTTCCCTCTACTTTAGCTTTGTCTTATGAATGACACAAGAACAATGAAGTAGAATTTTAAAGTCAGCCTTCTAATAGTAGTCATGTCACTAAATAACTGTGTGTGTCCTTCTGCTGATGTTGAGAAAACAGATGTGAAGAAATAATTCATTAGTACTTATTTGTACATACGTTTCTGGCAGGTGCTGTTGGCAGCAGCGGTCTGCACGAAAGCAGGAAAGGCTATTGTTTCTCGACAGTTCGTAGAGATGACCCGAACTCGGATTGAGGGCTTATTAGCAGCTTTTCCAAAGCTCATGAACACTGGAAAACAACATACATTTGTTGAAACAGAGAGTGTAAGATATGTCTACCAGCCTATGGAAAAACTGTACATGGTTCTGATCACTACCAAAAACAGCAACATTTTAGAAGATTTGGAGACCTTAAGGCTCTTCTCAAGAGTGGTAAGAGTCCTGCTGAAATACTGAGTTGCACTTTTTATTTGTTTTTTGTATGCGTAACTAGTTTTTCCCCTAAAGCAGCTGATGCTTACCAGTTTGCAAGCTCCCACTCCCCACCCCAACAACTTATTGCTGTGACTTCTTATTCATTTGGCAAACATATATTGGATGTCCTCCTAGGCTATAAGTATCCCAAAAGAGAATATGATAACTGCCCTTTCATTTCCTGGTTCTTAAGCAGTTACTCTAATCTGCCTCTGTGGTTCTGACACTTGTTTAGCCATGTTTTTAGATGATGCACTTTAGGTAAGACTTACTGATACAGACACACACAAACTCAAAGACTTTATGTCAAAGTCTTGCTTAAAGACTAAGATCAGGCATGGTAGTACTCCCAGCTATTCGGGAGTCTGAGGTAGGAGGATTGCTTGAGGCCAGGAAGGAGTTCAAGGTTGTAGTGTGCTATGATTGTGCCTGCGAATAGCTATTGTACTCCAGCCTGGGCAATACAGTGAGACCCTTCTCTAAAAAAAATACAGACTAGATGGAGCTAAGAAAGGGATGCAGGATTATTGAAATTTGTGTACTTTAAAAAGGATAAGACTTGGAAACATAGCTGCTGATAAAATTCTAAATATTTCTTTTTCATTGTCCATTACTAGATCCCTGAATATTGCCGAGCCTTAGAGGAGAACGAAATATCTGAGCACTGTTTTGATTTAATTTTTGCTTTTGATGAAATTGTCGCCCTGGGATACCGGGAGAATGTTAACCTGGCACAGATCAGAACCTTCACAGAAATGGATTCTCATGAGGAGAAGGTGTTCAGAGCAGTCAGAGAGGTAAATAGGGTCTTCTCTGGGACCGCCAGTTTGTGTGTCTGTTAGGCTTCACTTGTGTGATTTTCCTGTTTTTACTTGCTGATACTAGACTGTACTCAAAGCTACGTCCATATGTCTCCTTCCTTAGACTCAAGAACGTGAAGCTAAGGCTGAGATGCGACGTAAAGCAAAGGAATTACAACAGGCCCGAAGAGATGCAGAGAGACAGGGCAAAAAAGCACCAGGATTTGGGGGATTTGGCAGTTCTGCAGTATCTGGAGGCAGCACAGCTGCCATGATCACAGAGACCATCATTGAAACTGATAAACCAAAAGTGGCACCTGCACCAGCCAGGTATAATCCAGTATATTACCAGCAACTTAAGAATTCCAGATGAAGGATGTATGTATGTGTATCTTGGAGTGATATCTGATTTCTAGACAAGCTGTAGATAATGAAGGACTTGATGAAGTCAGATATATTTGGCCATATAAAATATGGGGATAAAGGAGAAATCGGAATGTGGTGTTCTTCCTCTGGTGTAAACGAGAGTTCTTTTACAAATTTTCCTGTGACCTTAATTTCCTATGAGAGTTGCCTTATTATGGAAAGGGAAGGGATATTTAACTTTTTATGGAATGTGGATTTTTAATCTTGATGTTCAGGGATTGATTTCAGAGGGAATCTGTGAATTACTTGAAATTATGTGCAGAATTTTATGCACAGGTATATTTCTCTGGATGCAAGGTACAAAGTTTTCATCATGCGTGCTTATAAAAATACCTTTGGTCTTTGGGTAATGAAATTTACATGTTCAGCAGTCTCTACCCTTTTTGGCACCAGGGACCAGTTTCATGGAAGACAGTCCTTGGACTAGGAGTGGGGGGTGTTCTGGGATGATCCAAGCGCTCCACATTTATTGTGCATTGTTCAAACCTCTCTGCCAATGACAATCTGTACTTGCAGCTGCTCCCCAGCACTATCGCCCCAGCTCCAGCCCAGATCATCAGGCACTAGACTCACAAGAAGCAGGCAACCTAGGTCCCTCGCATGTGCAGTCCACGGTGGGGTTTGTAGCCCACGGTAGGGTTTGGGCTCTTATGAGAATCCAGTGCCTCTGTTGATCTGACAGGAGGCGGAGCCCACATGGTGATAGCTATGGGGAGCAGCCACAAATACAGATGAAGCCTCGGTCACTGGCCGCCCGCCTGCAGGGTGGCCCCCAATAGGCCACAGACTGTTGGTCCATGGCCTGGGGGTTGGGGACCAGTAATAGTGACTATCAGCTGGCAGTTTGGGCAGGTTCATATACTAGTTATCCACCAACTAGGAAGCTTGTGGGCAGGTTCATATACTAGTTATCCACCAACTAGGAAGCTTGTGGGCAGGTTCATATACTAGTTATCCACCAACTAGGAAGCTTGTGTGTTTTCTTTTAAGTCTGAACACTCCTGTTAAAGAACAGCTTCAGGGAAAGTTTTGTTAATATGAGGTCATTAATTAATGTTTTGGGGTTTTTAGTTTTTTTTCTTAAGCCAGTCAAATGTATTTTCTCTTGTTTTGAATTCTTCCACTTAGGCCTTCAGGCCCCAGTAAGGCTTTGAAACTTGGAGCCAAAGGAAAGGAAGTAGATAACTTTGTGGACAAGTTGAAATCGGAAGGTGAAACTATCATGTCCTCCAATATGGGCAAACGTACCTCCGAAGCAACCAAAGTGCATGCTCCACCCATTAATATGGAAAGGTAAGTAGTAATTTTCAGAAAGAACAGACCACATAATTTTTTAAAAATATTATTTGAGTGTGCTATAAATTCTTTTTGTGCCTTTTTTATCTTTCTTGATTTAAAGAATTTATTCAAAGCATATTCTACATATTAACAGTAAGACGTTTTTTTTTTTTTTTGAGATGAGGTCTTGCCATGTTGCTTAGGCTGGCCTCGAACTCCTTGTCTCAAGCAGTCCTCCTGCCTTAGTCTCCCAAGTAGCTGGCCCTCAGCTACTTGGCCTTTTTCTTTTTTCTTTAACCATGATTGGAGGCTTCCAGCCATCTATTTTCTATGAAGTTTAAAACTTTCATCAGCTAAATTAAACAAAAATAACTTGTCTTCATGCTTAGTGTGTAGATTTCTCTTAGAGTAGACTTGAGTTAGGGGGCTAGAACTATGGTGAGCTCACACTATATTTTGGCTTGTCTTTTTCTAATTAAACTATAAGTAGAACCAATCCTTAATCCAAACTTTGTAAATATCTTTAACAGCAAATTAACATCTCTTTTGCCTTTCAAGTGTTTGAACCCAGTATGGAACATTTTGATTTGTCTCTTATCTCAGGGCTGTGGTGCTGGTTGGGGACATTTTTAAGTAGTAGTTACCAAGTTCACATATTCATGACTCAGATTTCTTGTCTCGAAGCCTAAACCTTCGACTGTTGCTGGCGTTTCTGAGGTCAAGTGAAAGATGAGATTGGGAGGATATTTCTGTCAGGTGTGCATAAAAGAGGAGTATTTACTTTTTATATGTCCTGTTCTCTATGAAATGAAAAGGGTTACATCAGGATAAATCTCTTGACTCACTAAAGCTCCTGTGCTATTCCTAGTGGTTGCTTTGAGTGAGACAGAGGCTTCACACTTTTAAAAAGGTATTGGAGACCATCACATATTAAAGAGAACCTGAGTCAGGCATGGTGGTTAATGCCTGTAATGCCAGCACTTTAGGATACCAAGGCAGGAGGATCACAAGACCAGCCTGGACAACATAGTGAGACCCTGTCTCTTAAAAAAAAAAAAACAAAGGAACTTAAGCCAGGCATGGTGGTGCATGCCTGTAGTCCCATCTACTTGGGAGGCTGAGATGGGAGGATCTTTGAGCCCGGAAGTTCATGTCCAGCCTAGGCAATATAGTGAGACCTCACCTCTAAAAAATAAATTTAAAAAGTTTTTTAGAAGAACTTGAGAGTATTTTCTAAATGATGAAATACCTCTTCAACACAGAGCAAACTCGTGAGGGTAAAATGGGACCCTGCATTGTCTCAAGATATGCTTCTTTGTGGTCTTGATTCTAATGCCTTTGTTTCTGGGAAGACTTAAGAGGTTGGAACAGAGTAGGACACCAAAATATTCTTTGTAGCCTCTGCATTTCACCCAGCTAAAAATAGTTCTCTTACAGAATATGGATAGATTGTAATTAATAATTGCCCATAGCAGCAGCACTCTCCCCTCCCCCCCCATAGAGTCTTGCTCTGTCTCCCAAGAATAGAGTACAGTGGTGTCATCACAGCTCACTGCAACCTCAAACTTCTGGGCTCCAGAGATCCTCCTGCCTCAGCCTCCCAAGTAGCTGGTACTACAGGTGCCCCATGACACCTGGCTAATTTTTCTTTTCCTTTTTCTTTCTTTTTCATAAAGACAGGGTCTTGCTCTTGCTCAGGCTGGGCTCAAACGATCCTCCCCCTCCTGCCTTCACCTCCCAAAGTGCTAGGTTTACAGGCGTGAGCCACCAAGCCCAGCCAGCACTTTTTAATCTTATTTTTCTCATTAGGTTATACATTTATACAGTGCAAAATTTTTTTTTTTTTTTTTTTTTTTTTTTTTGAGACAGTCTCGCTTTGTTGCCTGGGCTAGAATGAGTGCCGTGGCGTCAGCCTAGCTCACAGCAACCTCAAACTCCTGGGCTCAAACAATCCTTCTGCCTCAGCCTCCCAAGTAGCTGGGACTACAGGCATGTGCCACCATGCCTCTATATATATCTATTTTTAGTTGTCCAGATCATTTCTTTCTATTTTTTAGTAGAGACGGGGTCTCGCTCTTGCTCAGGCTGGTCTCGAACTCCTGACCTTGAGCGATTCACCCGCCTCGGCCTCCCAGAGTGCTAGGATTACAGGCGTGAGCCACCGCGCCCGGCCTATACAGTGCAAAATTTTAAAAGTTCAAAAGATGTTACAGTAAAGTCTTCCTCCCACCCAGCCTTGCAAATTTCTCATTTTGGAGGCAACTAGTACTAACTAGTTTTTTTGTGTGTCCTTTAAGGGGAATAGTCTATGATGTATAGATGAATAAAAACATACATATACAATATATCTATTTTCCCCCTTTTCATGCAAAGCAATAGCATACATAGCAATGTTCTGCAATTGCATTTTTCACTTAATTATTTTAGAGATAAGAATTGCCTTATTTGAAGCTATGGAGACATGACATCTAAATGTAATACCTTATCCTAGACTGGATACTGTACTACCATGGTTTAGAAAAAACAACTCAAACTGTGTTTTTTTTTCTTTTTTGTTTTTTTCCAAGACAGAGTCTCACTCTGTTGCCCAGGCTAGAGTGCAGTGTCCTCATCATAGCTCACTCCAACCTCAAACTCCCGGGCTCAAGTGATTCTCCTGCCTTAGCTTCCTTGAGTAGCTGGGACTATAGGCATGCGCCACCACAACTGGCTAATTTTTCTGTTTTTTTGTAGAGACAGGGTCTCACTCTTGCTCAGGCTGGTCTTAAACTCCTAGCAATCTCAAGCAGTCTTCCACCTTGGCCTCCCCAGGTGCTAGGATTACAGGCGTAAGCCACTGCATCTTGTTTTTTCTATTCTCTCACTCAACAACAACAATCAACGCAGCTTAGAAGACTCTTGTGACCAAACATGTGGAGGTTTTCCTACATATACCAAGCAGCAGACACCAGCTGGGTGTTGTCTAATTCACTTCAATTCTGATGCTATCTTCCTGGAAATATCCTGAGATCCCCCGGGTTGGAAGTTCAGTCCCCAAGACTGCCTCTTCTGCAAGTCCAGGCCTTCAGAACTTTTGACTGACTGTCTTCAAGTTGGGCTTCCCACTAACTCCTCTTTAGGTTTGATTAATTTGCTAGAGCGGCTCACAGACTCAGGGAAACGTGTTTACTAGTTTATTACAAAAGATATTTTAAAGGATGCAAATAAACAGCCAGATGAAGAGATACAAAGGGCAAGGTCTGGAAGGGTCCTGAGCCCAGGAGCTTCTATCCCTGTGGAGCTGGGGCATATCATTCTCCCAGCATGTGGATGAGATCTTGTTCACCTTCCTATAAGCCTCCATGTGTTCAGCTATCTGGAAGCTCCCTGAACCCTGTCCTCTGGGGCCTTTTGTGGAGACTTTATTGGATAAGCATGATAGATAATTGTGTAGAAATGTGATTGGACAAAAAAGGCATGATCTAATACTAATAGGCTCAGTGGGGAAACTCAATAAGGCCTGTCTGTTCAAATTCTTCTTGGGCTTTCTGTGCAGCATTCCTTCCTCCCAGGTATGGGACAGGACCCCTTTTGAAGATGAGAGTCTTTCCTTGGGCTGGTGAAAGGAGGGCAGGGGAAGATCAGAGATAAAGATTCTGTTTTCTGAGGCCTGCTCCTGAGACCTAAAATGCCCCAACATTATAAAAAGGGCTGTGGGAATTATGAGCCAGGAATCGTGAACAAAAACATATATATATCATAATATCACAACTACTATAAAAGACATTTTTATGTTAACTGACAAAATTGGCATATGGATGGTAGGTTGCATAAAAGTATTGTTATCAATGTGAGCTGGTTGCAGCGGCAGGCACCTGTAGTCCCAGCTACTCGGGAGGCTCAGTGAGGAGGGTCGCTTGCCATCAGGAGTTTGGAGGTTGTAGTGTGCAATGATCATGTCTGTGAATAGTCACTGCACTCCAGCCTAGGCAACATAGTGAGACTCTGTCTCTTTAAAAAAAAAACACACACACACACACACTCCCTGTCTCTTCAAAAAATAGAAAAATTAGCTGGGTATGATGGCACATGACTGTAGTCCTAGGCACATGACTATAGTTGGGAGGCTGATGCAGGAGGATCACTTGAGCCCAGGAGTTTGAGGTTGCAGTGAGCTATGATCGTGCTACTGCCCTCATGCTCCGGTAACAAAATGACACCTTGTCTGCAAAAAAAAAAAAGTAAAAAAGATAAGGGGGAAAAATCAAATATATACATACAAACGTATTATTTAGAGAGAATACATAAATGCAAATGATAAAACAAATGGGATAAATGTTAACAATAGGTAAATCTGGGTAAAGGGTATTCCTTGTATAATTTTTATTTTTTAAGGTTTGAAAATATTTTTAAACAGAAAGTGTTTTTAGTTCTGTTTTCTCACAGCTGTCTAGTATTCATTCGTGTGGATATACCTTTATTTAAGTAGCCCCCTATTGGTGGACATTTAAGTTGTTTCTAAACTTTTGCTATTACAAACAATTCTTCAATGAATAACTTAGTGCATTGTTTTGCACAGGTGAGATCTGTAGGATAAATTCTAGAGAACAATTGCTGGATCAAAGGGTATCATGCTTTAAATTATTATTATTATTTTTTTTTTTTTTGAGACAGAGTCTTACTCTCTTGCCTGGGCTAGAGTGCTGTGGCATCACCCTAGCTCACAGCAACCTCAAACTCCTGGGCTTAGGCAATCCTTCTGCCTCAGCCTCCCGAGTAGCTGGGACTACAGGCATGCACCACCATGCCTGGCTAATTTTTTCTATATATATTTTTAGTTGTCCAGATAATTTCTTTCTGTTTTTTTAGTAGAGAGACAGGGTCTCGCTCTTGCTCAGGCTGGTCTCGAACTCCTGAGCTCAAACAATCCGCCCTCCTTGGCCTCTCAGAGTGCTAGGATTACAGGCGTGAGCCACCGCGCCCGGCCTATGCTTTAAATTTTGATAGCTATAGCAGTAGTGTCTTTTAAAAAAAAAATTGATGGCTAATCACTATTAAACCCTGGAGAAAAGGAGTTCTGGTTTCTACCTTTCTGAACAAATTTGTTTTCTTTGTAGTGTGCATATGAAGATTGAAGAAAAGATCACACTAACCTGTGGACGAGATGGAGGATTACAGAATATGGAGTTGCACGGCATGATCATGCTTAGGATCTCAGATGACAAATTTGGCCGAATTCGTCTTCATGTGGAAAATGAAGATAAAAAAGGGGTGCAGCTACAGGTGGGTAGAGGCTTTTGATAGGGAGCGTTAAGACTGTCTGTCTAGCAGTCTTTCTCAGCTAGAGATCCTCATATGAATCACGGAACACAAAAATTTATTTAAGTTATGTAACTAGTGCCATTCAAGATGCATTGGAAAGAAGTCAATTTATTACATAATAGTAGATACCTGAGAATGATTGACAGCAGCTGTGTTGGGATGGATTTTAATATTGGAATTGAATGAAAGGTCAATTTGAAATCTAATAAATGACTTTGTACTCACAAAAGATACAGAGAGATGTTTATCTTTTGCTATTATGAAAAGAGTAAAATAAAGCAGGTATGACATGAAATTTACTCATTCTGCCATAAAATAAACTACCAGTGCTTGTTAGCTGAAGAGCAATATCTAATAGTATATTTGAAAAGTACATAAAATGCTTACCAAATAAATGTGTGTATTCCAACTATTAGGTATATTTGAGTCCTTTATATTATTACTGTTGTTCTTGTCACATTTCATTTAGGTATTTGATCTTACATTTCTCGTTACAAGTATAAAGCCTTTTCAGGAAAGAGTATATTTTTGTCTACTTTTTCCTCCCATAATCAGCACAGAGTTGTCTTTTGGAAGTAATGCTTATATTATTTGATACCTTTGGTGGCTTTTAAAGTATAAGATAGACTGCTATCCAAAAGTGATTTTTTTTTTGAGACAGAATCTCACTCTGTTACCCTGGCTAGAGTGAGTGCTGTGGCGTTAGCCTAGCTCACAGCAACCTCAAACTCCTGGGCTCAAGCAATCCTTCTGCCTCAGCCTCCCGAGTAGCTGGGACTACAGGCATGCGCTACTATGCTTGGCTAATTTTTTCTATATATTTTAGTTGTTCAGATAATTTCTTTCTATTTTTTTTAATAGAGACAGGGTCTCGTTCTTGCTCAGGCTGGTCTCGAACTCCTGAGCTCAAGTGATCCTCCCACCTCGGCTTCCCAGAGAGCTAGGATTACAGGCGTGAGCCACCAAAAGTGATTTTTTTAAAAAAAGATTAGACTGCCTTAATTGGCTTGAATTTGAACAACTTTAGCTCTCTGGGCAAAATTGCAGCTAAACTTTATACACAGAGTTGTACCCTCTGCTACCTCGTTACATTAAGAGCAGGTCCGCTTTCTGACCCAGGCAGCTGATGAACATCTCACCTCAGTCTTCTGCCTGGCAAGCCTGGCCCCACTCTGAGGCTGCTCCCTTTGAAGTATTTTTGGAATGGACTTGGTTAATGGTCTTTTAACTTTTTCAGTTACAAACTTGTTTCTTAATGGCTTTTAGGATTGAAATTAGGTTTTTTTTAATTACTCTTACTAGTTTTTAAATATCTTAAATGTTTTTAAAGCTTTTTTAGAAACAGGGTCTCACCCTCTTAACCATTTTTTGTTTGTTTTTGTTGGACAGACAGGGTCTTGCTTTGTCTCCCAGGCTCTGGAGTGCAGTGGCGCCGCGCCATAAAGTCTTTGAAGAAGGGAAAGGTTTCTTCAAAAAGATTTCCAGTTTTGGGGTTTTTTTTTTTTTTTTTGGAGACAGAGTCTCTTTCTGTTGCCCAGGCTAGAGTGCTGTGGTGTCCACCTAGCTCACAGCAACCTCAAACTCCTGGGCTCAAGTGATCTCCTGCCTCAGGCTCCCAAGTAGCTGGGACTACAGGTGCGCACCACTACACCTGTCTAATTTTTTCTATTTTTAGTAGGGATGGAGTCTCGCTCTTGCTCAGGCTGGTCTTGAACTCCTGAGCTCAAGTGATCCTCCCGCCTCAGCCTCCCAGAGTATTGGGATTACAGGCGTGAGTAACTGTGCCTGGCCAAGATTTGGAATTTTTTAGGTACTCGATTTTAGATGTTTAGATTCTGGACCACGTAAGCCCCGAAGAGGTTTGCTTTCTGTCTTGTCATGTCTGAACGTCAGAAATTTTCCTTCCCTTTTCATTCTAGACCCATCCAAATGTGGATAAAAAACTTTTCACTGCAGAGTCTCTAATTGGCTTGAAGAACCCAGAGAAGTCATTTCCAGTCAATAGTGATGTAGGGGTGCTAAAGTGGAGACTACAAACCACAGAGGAATCTTGTATTCCACTGACAAGTAAGTGCCTCTTCACTAAGCTACTCTGCACTGAGAACTAGAAATAGCCCTGGCTTGTATGTTCTTATCTTCTTGCCATAGCAGAATTCTTTCTGACAAAATGACCTCCTTTCAGAATGGATTCAGTGCTGCATTTTTTATATTTTAATCATTAACTTCAATTTTTAATGGCTTTAATTTTGAACCCATTGTTTTTAATATAGTTTAAATTAGGATGTTTTAGGCCTACAGCTGTTAGCTTTAATTTGCCATGTTAACTTTTCTCCTTTTTCTAATGTTCTAGTATGGCTACTTTGCTTTCCTCCTCAGTTAATTGCTGGCCCTCAGAGAGTGGAAATGGCTGTGATGTCAACATAGAATATGAGCTACAAGAGGATAATTTAGAACTGAATGATGTGGTTATCACCATCCCACTCCCGTAAGTGGTGTCCCCATGTAATCGTTTTCCCTACGTTGGACTTAAAGAACTGAGTTTTTAGAACTTGTTTTGGAGACAGCACCTAGCTGGCTATCCATTCTAAGACACTTCCTTCTTAAAAAGGCCAGTTGTGAAAGAAGCTAGACGTAAAGGCTACATACTATGTGATTCTACCTCTGTGACTTTCTGGAAAAGGTAATAACTCTTAAACAGAAATCAGGCGGTAGAGAGGAAGGTACTTGACTGCAAAGGGGCACAAGGGAACTTTTGGGGATGATAGAAATGTCCCATGACTTGTGCTTTTTTTGGCAGTATATATACTAAAATTGAAGTGATACAGAGAAGATTAGCATGACCCTTCACAAGGATGACACATAAATTTGTGAAGTGTTCCATATTTTAAAAAATAAGATATAAAAGAAATGTTCTGTGACTTCATTGTGATGGTGTTTAGAAGACGGCATACATTTGTCAAAATGCATTGAGCACTTTGAAGGGGTGGATTTTACTGACTTTAAAACCAAATCAAAAAAGCCAGTTTTAGTTCTAGAACTGTTTTTACATGTTGGTTGTGTTTGTTCATGTAGTAATGAAGATTTCCAGAAGGGGGAGCCACTTCTCAGTCAGACTTCCTCTGTTTTATTTTGCAACTTTCAAAGAGATTGAGTCTATCAGACTGAATTTTTTTTTTTTTTTTTTTTTTTGAGACAGAGTCTCACTCTGTTGCCTGGGCTAGAGTTCTGTGGTGTTAGCCTAGCTTATAGCAGCCTCAAACTCCTGGGCTCAAGCAATCCTCCTGCCTCAGCCTCCCAGAATGCTAGGATTACAGGCATGAGCCACCGTGCCCAGCCCAGACTGAATTTTTCTGTTTCACTTGCTCCCTAAGCTTTCATTAAAGATGAGTATATGTGTTCAAGACAACTATTGATTCTTGCTGAAACAAGATGTCTACATTAGTTTCAGTAAATTTCCTAATAGCTGTATTAAAGTCTAATTGACGTACAATAAGCTACACATATTTAAATTGTGCAGGTTTGACATGTACACACCTGTGAAGCCATCACCACAATCAAGATAATGAAAATGTCTGTCACCCCCAAAAGTTGAGTTCTAATAAGTTTTTCTTGTGCACTTAGTTGTACCTTTAGTTTATCTTCTCAGTAGCATTTTCAGTGAGTGCACTGTTACTACTTCACCAGTGAACCCCGGCTCCTCTCTACCCATTAGCTCCTATGATTAAGTTCAGAGTTTAATTATGAACACCAGGCCCAGTAAGTATTCTTAGTGTTTCTTTACTGTTGTATTGGTCGTTGTTGTTGCAGGGTAAATGGTACTAATTTGATTTGTAGTTTTCTTCCCATTTTCATAATTCAGGCCTTTATATTGTCAGGTCTGATTTTAGTCATTCTTATTTCCATTTGTAAAAATATGTTTTATTGCCAAGTATCCCTTTTAAGGGGGTAACCATCTTATTCTCCACAGTGTGGTGGTTCTTTCAGAACAATAGATGGCTGCCTTGAACCACTGTAGGATTTGGGCATTGGTGACAGGTGGGGTTTTGTTTGTCAAGATTTATTTTACCTGACTATTTTTAGAGTGGCACACTTTTTAGGCCTCTCCATCTACCCTATAATTGTGGTTCTGGTGGCTTCCTGTGTTTTAGTTCAATTTTGCAGTGATCTCCAGAAGAGAACCTTAGACAACATTTTATCCCATTGTCAAGAACTGATCAAATTAGAAGAAATCACAATCAGAATTGGAGCAGGGCCACAGAGAAGGAACATATGACCCTAAAATTGATAGGGAAGAGTTAATAGTCTTAATGCTATCCTTAAAGTTTTCTTTATCTCCCTTATGTACCGTACCCCTAATATAAGCATTCGGTGTCACTGGTGAATTAAAAGATGGTAAATTGAGAGTGTGTAGGAGTAGGTGACACTGCCTGTCAGCCATGTGTGGGGTTGCATAGTATATCCTAACTAGCCTTGGTTCTCCTGCAGATTAAGGACAACCGTGTATCTCTCCCGTCATATTTCCATTTTGCCTCAGGGTAATTGTGCTTTCATTTATCAAATAAAAAGTCCATTTACTAGATTGTAAATTAAATAAACCCATTGGCATCAACTTCAGTAAGTTTTGAAACATAAAATCTTTTGGAAACAAATCTCAAAGGCCCAAATTCATTTCCATTATTGGTGTTTAAAATTTCTCCTCCAGCTATTACCAACCTGCTTTTTCCCCCATTGTCACTTATAAAGAGAGCTGCATTTTGTTAAAATTTTTTCTTGACAGGGCACCCAACCATTGCTGCAGGATTTTTAGAAACATATCCCTCTTACCCATTTGTCAGTCTCGGTCCCCTGCTAGCTCCCAGATCTAGTCCATAAGTTGGAGCATCCCACAGGCATAACTGCCAAGTACCTGTTTTTGCATATATATGTCTGTCTGCAAAGGGAGTTGAGTGAGACTCTTGGCCAAGGTGCTAGGACTTTGACCCTTGAAGTGATTAGGGAGCCTAACTTCTTCGAGGACCACATAAAAATTGCAGTCCTAGAGGCAGAATTTGAGGAACATAATCAAATTTGGGGTTGGTTTTTCTTCGTGGAGTTCTCTAGCTCTGGACCACTAACTTGACTCAATATTTCTCGTAACAGATCCGGTGTCGGCGCACCTGTTATTGGTGAGATCGATGGGGAATATCGACATGACAGTCGACGAAATACCTTGGAGTGGTGCCTGCCAGTGATTGATGCCAAAAATAAGAGTGGCAGCCTGGAGTTTAGCATTGCTGGGCAGCCCAATGACTTCTTCCCTGTTCAAGTTTCCTTCATCTCTAAGAAAAATTACTGTAACATACAGGTACCCCATTTTAATAAAGAATATATATGGGGGAAGCAGTAGGACAGATACCAGATAGGTAGCGTGGCTTCATGGTCACTTAAAAAATCAGAAAAGCTGAGGTCCCCTGACTCATTGTATGATCTTGGTCAAATTCCTCACCTGCTTTACCTCAGTTTTCCTTGCTCTGTCAGACAAAAGAAAAGAAAAGGTCAGTAAAGAAATTGAATACCAATACATATAAAGTACTTATGGATTGTGCAAGATTCATATACACTTAGTTGCCTATTTTTTTAATCTCATATATTTTAAAATCCATTTGCCAAAACACCCAACACATGATTTTGTAATGCCTTGCTGTCACTTGATTTATATCTAAGGAATGAAAGTTTTTTATTTGGAAGGCAAAATTCCTGCCAACAAAAAAAAATTCCAATGATTTTTGGGTTATTTATGTCACAGATTCCTTTATTAGTACAAATAATCACAGGAGAGTTCTATTGCAAAGGCTGTCCGTTAGGTAAGCAAAGCAGTGGAACTGTGTGAACTGTTCCTTCAGGTCATCATTTCTAACTGATTCCTCCAGTGTTTGAAACTACATTACTGGGACCCAGTTTATATTGTTGTCTTCCCCTTTTTTTGACTTGCCTGTTATTCTGGCCCTATCTTATCTTCCCAGATGGTCTTTCTCTCCTTTGTAAGTGCTTGGAAAGTTATAGCTTCCTCTGTTGGATCATTCCAAAGAGCAGTGTTTTCTCTCCCTCCCTCTCCTTCTCTCTTTCCTGTCAGTTAGTGGCATAACCCCATCAGTATTGGGAGCCACTTTATTAAACCCAAGACATTAGATAGAAATGGGTACATTTTCCTGTTTGGGAGCATTCAGAGATTAGGACAATATAATTGCTCTTTCAAAGCCTCATTAGAAAATATGAATCAGTGGTTCGAGTGTTGTGTTATTGCCATTATAGGTACCAGTGTTACAGGTAATTAATTAAACTAGACATTTATTATTATTTTTAAAAAAGAGTTTGGGCGCGGTGGCTCATACCTGTAATCCTAGCACTCTGGGAGGCCGAGGCGGGAGGATCATTTGAGCTCAGGAGTTCGAGACCAGCCTGAGCAAGAGTGAGACCCCGTTTCTACCAAAAATACAAAGAAATTAGCTGGATAACTAAAAATACATAGAAAAAATTGGCCGGGCATGGTGGCGCATCCCTGTAGTCCCAGCTACTCGGGAGGCTGAGGCAGAAGGATTGCTTGAGCCCAGGAGTTCGAGGTTGCTGTGAGCCAACGCCATGGCACTCTAGCCTGGGCAGCAGAGCAAGACTCTGTCTCAAAAAAAAGAAAAGAAAAGAAAAAACCTCATTGGAAGGACCCAGCTATGCCTAAAATATAAGTGTGATAGAGTAGCTTTATGGGGCTTTTGACACAAGAGACTTTGAGAGCAGATCAAATTAATAATATGGAATTAGAATGCTGCATTTTGGGTGAAAATGTTAATTGAAGGCTGAGGTGGGAGGATTGCTTGAGACCAGGAGTTTGAGACAAGCCTGGGCAATATAGAGAGAACCCCATCTCAAAAAAGTGTTAATTGATCATACTAATAGAATGTCTATGAATTTCATAGGTTTTATAGGGTAGGTTGGGGCTATGGCCACTCATTCTGGAGCTTTTACTTATTAATACTGCTCTACATTTTATCCCAGTAGTTGTCTTTTCTCTGCCTAGAAAGCAGCTTAATCATCTTGGTGAGAAAGAGTGATGCTGTGAGCTGCAGTTGTAATTTGAACATTTTTTAGTGTTTCTAAGTTTTACTACTACTTTTAGGGAATTTGATCTGTTCTCTTTTGGGGGCATTAGCGCTGGTTGATTAATTGATAGATTGAGGGAGAGTCTTGCTCTGTTGCCCAGGCAAGAGTGCAGTGGTATCATCATAGCTACTGCAACCTGACACTCCTGGGCTCAAGTGATCCTGCCTCAGCCTCCCGAGTAGCTGGGACTACAGATGTGCACCACCATGCCTGGCTAATTTTTCTATTTTTTTGACAGGTTCTTGCTATGTTGCTTAGGCTGATCTCGAACTCCTGGCTTCAAGCAATCCTCCCACTTTAGCCTCCCAAAGTGCTAGGATTATAGGCATGAGCCACTGTGCCTGACCTGATCTGTTCTTGAATGAGAATTCAGTCAGCATCTTGAAGACTCAGACCTCTTTCTGCATTACCTAACTCTTTTGTTTATTTTCCTAGGTTACCAAAGTGACCCAGGTAGAAGGAAACAGCCCTGTCAGGTTTTCCACAGAGACCACTTTCCTAGTGGATAAGTATGAAATCCTGTAATACCAAGAAGAGGCAACCGAAAAGGAAAATTTTCAAATTAATAAAGAAGAAGCCAACAGTGGCTGAAGAGTTTTTTCCAAATTTACAAGCCATCGGAGACCCTTTTTTTCCTGATACAATGCACGATTCTCTGCGCGCAAGGACCCTCAACTCACCCCCATGTTTCAGTGTCACAGAGACATTCTTTGACAAAGAAATGGCACAAACATAAAGGGAAAGGCTGCAGATTTCTTTGGCAGATTTTATTAGCCAGCAGAAAAGCAAGCTCTCCAGAGAATGTCCCCCATTAAATACCTCCTCTGCCTTCACCTCCTCTGCTCCTTTATTTTAATCCCTAAATATAGTTATATTTCATACTTACTTTGTTTTTCAAAAGTTTTCTCTGTAGAAGATTTTAATCTTTCATACTCCTTTTTTTACCTTCAGTTTTTTCTTTCTCTTCATTCAATCAAGCACTGGGATCATCTGTATACAGACATTGTATTTGTTTGATTCTCCTGAAACAAGTTTATCTAACCCATTCTTGATTTTTGGGCTATGCAGATGAACTGTTTAAGGGGTGTGGTTAAAAGATAAGGATGTCTTCTCTCCTTTTCCCCTGTCCATTCATCCCTCCATTCCTTTGCCAGCTTGTTTTCCTTTCAAGGCCTGTCCCTTGAGTTTAGAATAGTACTATGAATCCCATTTGTGTCATTATAAAAGATAACTGAGAAACAGCTTTCAAATGGCACAGCCCCTCTTAAGATGTCTGGGAAAATGGTTATTTCCAGTTAGGGATTTCATATCCACACATAATCATGTCTGCTGCTGGTTGCTACCCAAGCTTGTGGTTCTCCACATTTTGGATACTTAAGCTAAAACATAATAGCTCACAGTCTTTGTAATCCATTCACATTCCTCAAGTTTGCCACCTTCCTCTTCCTGACTGGTCTCTCTGTCATCAGTCCTCTCCTTTCTAGCAGAAATGAGGTTATGATTTTGGAGGCTGTGGGTTTAGTCGTCTTTGTGCCAATCCCACTGGCCCTGAACAGTCAGGGAGACTCGATTTTCACCACTGGATTTTTAGCATTTCGAGGAACAGCTGATTATATTGGTATATAAGGATTACTCATACATACCCCATTTCCTTCCAGCCTGCCCGACATTTTCCACCAGCCTATCTGTCCCTATCTCGGAAATCCTTCCTTTTCCTCCCCTAAGCCTTTTGAGTATCATCACGTAGTGGTTGTTTCCATCTCATCCGTTACTTTTTCAGTGGAGACTACAATATCAGCCAGCCTAGCCTTGGCTTGTAAGTATTGCACTCAGCAGGGTGGGTGAAGAGTTTCTGCAAGGCTGCAGGCACTGGAATGGGAAGAAGCAGACCGTAGATGACCTCTTACACTCTTAGCTTATTGGCAAGTACCACTCCCACTCAGAACAACATCTGGCCCTCCCTGCAAAGAGCGTACTGTACTTGAAGCAAAGCAGTCACATACAGATGGCCATGGATGGAATTGCTTGCCAAAGAAATTTCTAGCCTTTCTCTTTCCCGTAACTGCATCAGGGAAGAATCCTTATCTCTAGCTTGGTTTCCACGTGAGGTTTTTCTGAGGAAGGGCCCTAGGACAAGAAGTCTGTCATGTAGTTAAATAGGCAAGAAATCTTATTAATCCAGTTTTGTTTGAAAGTTACTTGTCCATATGATTTTTAAAAAGTCAAGTTTAATTTCACAAAAACTTTTTTTTCTGAGATTACTTTTGGGGTAATATTTAAAATGAGACGTTTTGTAACCCTGTAAAATACATAGGGAATATAACATTCCAATGTACACAAAGAAGGCAAATTCTTTAATCAAATAAAGAGTATTATAAAATGAGATGTTTATTGGACTCGGCTCACACTTGGGTGTCTGCTTGTTGATTCAGGATGGTGTAATGGGACCTAAGATTAAAAATTAATGATGTTTTTTTTAAGAGAAAATAATCTCTATCAGTATTCATTGCTTTTTCTCCATATTTTAGGTATTGTGCCTCCTTGTGTATTTTTCTGCATTCAAGCATGCACATAAACCCACACTGTACACACTTGTGCTCCTGACAGTGTAGCTTTTGAATTTGATGGTACCGATGGCCTTTTAGGGGGATTGGAGCCTTAATTTTGCCAGGGGCAGTTGTAGAGTCAGAGAAGTGAGGCTTCATCTTTAAACAATGTTAGGTGATACCTCAGAGCCTTCTCTTTCTCCCTTAGTGGTGAGAAGTAAGTGATCCAGGAATGAGTGATGAGCGCCTTTGGAATTGTTGATAATTCCCTCAGAAAAGTCTTCTTTCTTATACCTCCTTTTTTACTTAGAAAAACTATTGAAAGTCAGCAGATTATTTGGAAGGCAAATTAATTATTCCTAATGAATAATAAGTCTGGAATGAACACGTTTTTGCATTAATGATGAAAGCTGGTTCTGAGTTTTTTGTTTTCTTTTTTCTTAGTGAAATAGTATCTGGTTTTATGTTGCTAAAGTGTGGCTTGGCTCTCTGAGACTGTAACCTTAATCCAATGAAGGACACCAAAACCATGCCACACCCCCTGACTGGCTGCTAATCCCTCTGAGGCATCAAGTGGACTTTTCCTTGGCCTCTTGTGAGGGAGACTAGCAAAATAATTAGATCTGACTGAGCATTCTGTTTGGTGTAGGAAGCTCGTGGTTCCTGATCTGGATTAGTTCATTCCACGCAGAGGAGGTAGGAGACACACCTCTGGACAGGAGTTCCTTTTAAGATCTGTTAGTCATTTACTCATAGTAGTTTCAAACCTCAAATCTATCAACCCAGGCATCTCAGACAGGGAAAACTCTCCAATTAATTTAAAAACTGTGAACAGTTTTGAAGTTGTTCACTCTGGGTAGGATCTGGGATATTTCCAGGATTGATACCGAATAACCTTTTATTAAAGTTCACATCTGGCAGGGCTTATTGGAAGGAGACAGGAGGAAAACAAGTCCTTAGCCTCAAGATTAACTAGAAGCAATTGACTGCCTGTTTATAAAGCCTTTTTTGCTAAGTTAGACAAGTGTTAACTACAACTGTGATAATGCAACATGGGTCTCCATGAGAGTGGGGAATAAGGTTTGGAGGCTTTAGAGGAATCTCAAAAAGAAAAACTGAATTCCCTTTTACTATGTACATCTGTCTTAATCCAAACACATGCCCTGCCTCACCCCAACCCCCAACCCCTGTTCCTCCTTTCTCCCTTTGGTAAGTAATTTATATTTGCAGCTCTAGAACTTTGAAACTCCTATTTAGAAGATCCACAAATAGGTTGGTTGCTGTGCATTGCTATTACCCAAGGACAGATAGCATCTCTACAAATATCTGTCTCACACCTCACGTTGGGGAGTTTGGGATTGATATGGAGGCAGGCCTTTAGGAAAAATTAGACTACCTGTCCAAACCAGGCTGTTTTCTCTCACACACACCACGCTATCAGGCAAGTTTTTAAAAGGTGGGCCCCTCCTTCCATAACCCACAAAAAATGAAAAGGTTTTACCCAGCTGTTCTAAGGGCAGGGGCTAAGTGGTTATTTAGGGTTTAGTCCAATTCCGGAAAGCTCCCCTAGGTGTACTCTGTGTGATCAGTTTGATTACCACACCAGGACAGAGGCCATTTGAAAGAGGAATTGCAAATTCTAGGTAAGGAAAGAAATGGAAATAGGTCTTGTTTCCCATTCTTTTGCCCAAATGAATGCTTGTTCTTTTCAGCTCTTAGGAAGGTGGTCCCGAGCCATGAAGGTACACAAGACCATTCTTCTGTCCTACCCAAATTTCCCACTCAGCTTGGATGCATGTTAGCTTTGGGTAGAAGTCTGGATTGTGCAATTTCTAAGACAAGCTGAAGAGAAGAGAGCTTCGAACTTTTTCCCAAGTTAGTGCAGCGTCATTGCCACCACACCTACACTAATGATGCCTGAGTTCGGGATCCAAAGAGGCCAGAAAGGGATAGCCTTCTGGGAGAGGGTGTGTATCTACAGGCATTGCTTGCTGTGTGAACACCCCTTTCTGGGGTGAGAGGGAGTACAATTTAATAGGAGGCACAGAGTGGAAAATGTTCCAAGGCAAAGGCAGGAGGAGTGTGGAAATCCACTCCTGACACTCATAGCCAAGTGCAGAGGGCCATAAAAAAATCCACTCTTCCTTCCACACGCAGCCTTTGCCCTCTCCCCCTGCTTCCACTTCGGAAAGTCTGAAGCATGCCTGGAAAGCTGTTTTCTACTTTCTTCCCCTCTCTTTCTCCCCCTTTCCTGAGCTCCCAGCTGCTCGACCTCTTGCGTAACTATGAGAGAGCACTGACTTTTTTGATGGGCTCCAGATGTGCAGTGGGGTGGGGGTGGAGGGTAGGGGCAGTCGGTCTGTAGTCCCCTGAGTGATCTAACTGTGGGAACATCTAAGCCTGACAGCAGGAGAGAGGACACTGCACATGGGGTCAGCTGGTCCCTGCGTTGCGAGGAAAGCAAGAAAAGTTGAGTGCTGTTTCAACCCCCTGCCTCGGTGTCAGCTGCCTTCATGGCAGGCTTGACTGTTCCCTGAAATTCCTCCTGACCACGATGGTGAAGAGGAGCTGGGGGTTGAGAAAAAGAGTTAAGTGAAAAGCCTCTGAGGTACCCCAATCTGAGCCCCTCCCCTCAAATGCTGGGTCTTGGCATATGGGATACAACAGTTTGGGTTTTCTTTATTATTTTATTTTACATACCAGAATAACCTGAATATTACTGTTGTGATCTACCTTATGAAGGTTGGTCAGAGTTAAGAGACTTTTGTGAGCTTTAAACAGTATGAAGAGAGGAAGAGTAAGTCTCATGCCCCCCCCCCCCCCAAATCCTAGAGTTTCCTGGTATCCACAGCATATTCTGGAGCCTGGTGGTTCTACTTCCTGGCTATAGCACGTAGTAGCAAAGGGCCCCTCTCCCCTCCCCCTTCTCGTCCCCTGCTTGGCCATGCTCAGTTCCAGCCTCCACTGTGGGGGGCCCCCCCGCTAATGCTGGCCCTGTCAATGAGTGACCAGAGATTCCTACAGTCCAGTCTCCTGCTATTCCTGGGTTGGGGAGAGAGAGCAAAAACTAAAGCCACTGAATCAGAACAGGACTTGTCCATCCCATAGAGGACAAATTATTTTTCATTATCCACCCCAGCTGGGATTCAGACCAGACTTGAGGGCTTTCTGCTCCTTCCTTCAGTAAAGAAGTTTCTAGGGTCTTTGCAAGAGTGCAGGTTAAAGAGGTCCAGTCTAGCTGAGTTCAGCTCCCTAGGGCCTCCCCAGCCAGTCTCCTGGGGCAATAGCTGGCTTTGCAAGGTAAGGATCTACTGTCAGCATTGGATTTCGGGGTGGGGGTTGAGATGCAGAGTGACCTCAACGAGGCTCAGTTACTAGGCCGTTTTTAGGTGTTTAGTGCTCCCTTTTCTTCCTTATTAATCCTCACTCCTACAGAGACCCAACCAACCACAGAACTATGTGCTCAGCTGCGTATCTATAGCCTGCCTCCCAACTCCCAATCTGTAATCCAGCGGATCTGCAGTGGGTGTGCCCCTGCACGGGGGGCAGATCGTAATTCCATTCAGCTTTCCTGTACTTTAGAGTTTGCGTGGCACTTGAACATGTCTTCTTGTACCTATCCTTAGGAAAGTCTGTGAAACCGGATATGCAGGGCTGTCAACAAACCCATTTACAGCTCTTCATGGTGGGGCGACAGGGAGAAGACCCGAGTACCTCAGCAGACGTTGTGGAGATGTCGAGAGCATGGTGCAGGGGCTGCGACTAGGAGGTTCCCTGGGAGCCAATGGACGTTTCAGGCATCTAAGGTAAAAAGAGAGGGAGAGGGGAGGAGGAAGGGAGGAGGGAGGGAGAGGGAGAAACTGTCAAAACTCCCTCTCAGAAGCGCAGTTAAAGCCTAGGGGTGGAGAGTGGTCTAGGAGAGTCCAAAGGGGAGGGTGGTGGTGGTGGAGAGCCAGCTGTACAGATGAACAAAGCCAGCGCTGTGCAGGCGGGGGGAGGTGCTACTGTGGGAAAGGGTGGGTGGGGGGACCTCGGGCTCCAGCCCCACAAGGGCGTCTTCTCTGGCTGGCCAGGCGGACAGGACGGGGGATGGGGCGGGGACTAGCGGGAGGGGGGCGGGACAGGCTCGCTCTCCTCCTATTCAGCGGGCTCCCAGGGAAAAGCAACAGTGTCCTTCTGAGCCTGAGGCCACCGCGGCCAAGACGGGCGAAGGGACCGGTGTCCCCCTCTCCCCTCGAGGTAAGAACGCCCCCTTGCACTACGCCCGCGGGTCCCATTCGCTGCGCGGCTGGGACAGGATACGGGGAAGTCCCCGGGGCCTGGCGGGAGCCCTCAGATCTGCTCTGGGCCGGGGAGACTCGGGAGAAATACGTGGGGGAGAAGGTGGGTGCGTGGGGCTGAAAGGGGCTTTGCTGGAAGTTGGCTCCGCGGCTTTCCGGTGAGCTGCTTGCTTTTGCCCTCCCGAGCAGCTGCCAGCGCCACCGCCAGAGGGGGCCCTCGGGCTCTCCCCTTGGAGGGACACTGATTCTTGCCCCATCAAGACTTTCCCACCGGCACCAAGGCGTCAGGGCGGAAACTCGCAGCGTCTATCTAGGCTGGCGCGTGTGCGCGCGCGTCCTCGTCCTCCAGCGCCCCACACCTCCCCGTCTCCTCCAACAGCAGGACCACAGGGAGGAGGAATGCCCTGGGGCATCTCCGCTCCTGTCCCCAGGCCAGCCGCCTTGATGGACAAGGGAGGGATGGATACATACGGAGCTCCACTCCGAGTCATAGGTGTCCGAGAGGGACACCTGGGGGTGTCCAGGAGATGCCTGGGGCCTGCAAGGCACTCCTCCTAGGCCCCACGCCTTTAGGGGTCCGGGAGGCCGACTGGGCACCCTGGAACAGTCGCCGACTCTTGCCACGCCCGCGCGGTCAGGATTCGAATCCCTAGCGGAGTTCCCCCAGCTGAGGCTGAGCCGAGTCATCCGGGCTCCCCCGGGACGGGGAAGTGTGGGCTAGCGGCCGGGTGGGGCCGCGGGGTTGCCGAGGCGCCCGCGGACGCTTCCGCCGAGGCGGGCTCGAGTGGGGACTTGGCCAGGCGACCACACAGCCCGGCAGGGGACCCAGGGCGCCGGGGCGGGGCTGCATTCTGGGCCCGTTAGCTCAGTCGTCCCGGAGCTCCCGGAGGCTGACTCATCGGACGGCGGGCTCACCCCCACACACATCATCACACACAGACACAAGCTCCCCTCCACGTCAGGCTTCCACACAGCACACGCACGGCGCCCCGCCACCCACGCACCCTCCCACGACACGTCGCGCACACGCACCCCTCTATCGCACCGCCCCGACACACCCAGACCCCGCCATGCACGCCACGCACTGTTCACAGCACACGCGTCACTCACTGGAAACCGCTGTCCCGCTCACACGCGCCCCCCTCCACGCAGCCGCCCTTCCCGCAGCTGCCGGGCTGGGCGCGGGCGGGGTCTGTGGGGCCGCCCCCTTCCCCGCCGCGCGAACAAGCGGCTCCTTCTCCCCGCCCGGCCAAAGAAAGGCCGCTTGTCCCGCTGTCAGGGGCGGGCGGGCGGCTGCGGCAGGCGGCCCAACACTGAGGCCTTGTCCCACCTGGGCGGCCCGGGTAGGAGCGGGCCGGGGGGAGTGAGGGCCTCTCCCCTGCGGAAATCTCACTGGCCCCGCCGACTTCGGAGAGGTGCGCCCTTCCACACACACGCACACACGCACACACGCACACACACACACACACACACACACACGACGTAGCCCCACACTGCACGCACGTCTCTCTTCCCGGCTCTCCCCTCTGCCCTCTGGCAACCCCCTCTCTTCTCTCTCCCACCGCTGGGGCCCCTGGCCGGCCCCCGGTCTCCCTCCTTTCCGCCACCTCCCCAGCTCCCGCCCCCTCGCTTTCCCCTCCACTGCCCTCGCTGCCTCCGGGTGCTTCCTATCTCCCCCTGCTTGTCATACCCTCCACTCGAGGACCGCTCTGTCCTGTCTCCCCCCACCTCTCCACCTCTCTGTTCCTCAGTCTTCCCCTCCCTAGCTTTCATTTGTCCTTATCCTTCAGTTTCCCTCTTTTATTTTTCCCTCCAAATCCCTCAGTCTCCCTTTCCCCGCGCAGTCCCTCCGCAGAGCCCCATTCTCTCAGCCTCATTTTTCTCATCCTTAAGTTCTCTCTGCCCTTGCCCGCTCGGACGTCCCGGCACTGGGCTCCCGGCCTCAGTTTCCTTCCCTTTCGACTCCTTCCTCTGCCGGCCGCCCTTCCTCGAGGGCGGATGTGCGCCAGGAAGGCGGCGGAGGGCCGAGAGGATCCCAGCTCCGCCCCGCAGCCCTCCGTCCATAGTCCTGCGACGCCCCGGGAGAGGCCTCGGCCGGCCCCCAGGGACACAGGTGAGGGCCCGAGCGCCCCACAGGGCCCTGGGGAGCACCTGAGCAGAGGCCCGCGGAGGGCCTGGCCTTTCGTCTGGGGCTGGCTTTGGACCTCTCATCTTGGTCCCCGCTGGGAGCCCGGACCTTCCTCTGGCCTCCCTCCCCCCTCATGCGGGTGCCTAGACCCCCAAGGGATGACACTGGGCTCCCCACTCGGTCGAGAGGGCTGCGGACGGTATCCCGCGCGGCCGGGTGCCGGGGCGTTCCTGCTGAGGAGGAGGCCAGAGAGGCGGGGCCGGGGTCACCTGCCGCGGCCCCAGCGTCGCCGCACTCACGGCCCTCCCTGTAGCTCGCCAAATCCAGACGTCCGGCCTCTGCCGCTGTGCTCCCGACGCGGCGCTGGGGCGTCTGCACGCCCGTGCGGGAGGGCCCCCGAGGGCCGGGGCTGACCGCCCGGCTTCCTCACTCGAGGGCCGACTCGGCCCACGAGGGCCTTGTTTTGGCCGCGGGGCGGACGGGGTTTCCCAGAAAGGCCGCCAGGGCCAAGGCGGGGCGGCCGGGTGGGTAATTACAGCCCCCGCGCGGTGGGCAGCAGCCGAATGGGACGGAAGCGGGCCAGCCAGCTGGGGGCGTCCTTCGGGCAGGCCAGGGTTGGGGTCGAGGAGAGGGCGCCCCCAGGTGGCGGCTTTCCGGGCCGTGGCGAGACTCCTTGTCCAAGCACCGCCTGGGTGCTGGACAGGTTGGTCTGGTGTCTCTTTCCACTTCACCTGGATTAGGTTTCTGAGCTGGGGCCACAGCCTCGCATCTCCCAATCTCTACATCTTTTCTTATCTTCTTCCTACACCTCTCTCCTTATCCCTCCCTCTCCTTTCACCTCCTTATTCCCTTCTCTCCTCTCTTCTTATCACTCTTGTTCCCCATCAACCTTACTCCTTTACAATCTTAACTCCACTTAAGTTCTTTGGTGTAAATAAATGAGCACACCTCAGCTGCCTCACAGGGTGATAGTGACAAACACTCCAATTTGACAGATGAATAAACTAAGGCCCAGACAGCAGCTCATAATAATAACTGGCAATTTTTATAGTGTTTTGCCTTCATGGAGTGTCATTTCATATAATGCCTGAATCTTCAGACTGTCCTTTTTCTTTTTAAACTAACAGCTTTATTGAGATGTAATTTATATATCATAAAACTCACCCACCCAATTTGTGCGCAATTCAATGATATTTAGTATATTTACAAAGCTGTGCAACCATCCTTACAATTTAATTTTAGAACATTTCCATCACATCCCTCCTAAAAAAAATTTGCGTCCATTTACAATCATTCCCTGGTCCATACCTAGCCCGAGGCAAGCACAGATCCAGACAGTCTTTTTTTTAATCATTATTCCAGTTTTATAGAAGAATGTCTTGACAATCAGAGAAGTTAAATAACTTATCCAAGATCTTACAGCTAATAAATAAAAAAGTCAGGGTAGAATTTAAGGCTTTTGCATCCCAGTCTAAAGCTCTTTCCACTAATGGATTATGCTTTTCCTTCACCATTATTTATTATTTTGTTTTTCTTAACCCCTCTTTTACATAAACTCCCCTTTCCTAATCCACTCTCTTGCCTCTCCTCCCTCAGAAAATGCCAAAGGATTTCCCTGAGTCTAAGGAAGCAGTACAGCAATCTTTGTCCCTGGAAATTCTTCCCCATGGCCAGGACTCCTGGGGAGGTGCCAGGCCAGCTGGAGACTTGGTATAGGTTAATGGTCTGTTCCTCCGCTCTTCCCAAGCAGTCTTGGGGTGGGCCCCAGGCTGTGTTCCGGCCTCTCTTCCGCCAGCTTGGATGGAAATGGTGACGGAGATGATGCAGTTCAGGTCCGGAAGGGTGGAAGCTGGGAGTGTAAATTTAGTAACTCCATGGCTGAGACCCTTGGGACCCACTGCCAGAGTCAGACACTCCTTGGAATACTGGTTCCTGCCCCCACTTCCTTTCCAGGTCACCTGGTAGATGGCTGGAAGAGAAAGTGGAGGGAAAACCTGCTTTCCTGGGTCTGCTTCCTTACCTCTTAGCCATACTCTTCTCAGCCTTGCCAAGTAACATTTCCGCAGCAAATGGGAAGTTTCTCACCTTAGAAGTTGGCCGGGGCTTGGACATGTGGGCACACATTAGTACACAAACATCCTTCCTCGCATTTCTCAGGTACCAAAAACATGAGCCAGGGACAGAGGGATGAGTAGTGGGGTAGGGAGTAGGGGAATTGAAGTTCTGGCTCTGGAATCTATCTTACCCTTGTTCTAAGGGCTTAAGCTTCCTCCAGCACCAAGCCAGTTAGGTACTCAAGAGTTAAGAACCCAATAATCCCAGTATTAGTTACCACTGAGTTTTTTTTAGCTGATCTTATTGGGCTGAGGTTGCTTTCTGGGGAAGAAAGGGTGTAGGAGTTGAGACATATGGAGATGATAGGAATAGCTGAGTTTTTCCTCTGTGTCTCCTTTAACAAAACATCCTACTAAGACCCCTGGGGAAAGAGAAAAAGGGAGAAGAGGAAAAGAAAAGGTTTGAGAGGGAGCCCCTGCCGCCTGCCTGGGGACCCTCCATCTACCAGTGTCCTTGAAAGGGCTTCTTCCCTGGATTCTGCTTCTTCCACTAAGGTAGATTTTCCCCACCCCGCTTAAGGCTCCAGATGGCTGAGGGTCTTCAGCTGCCAAGACGTGGGTTCTGGGGAGCACAGTGCAAGAAAGCACAGAAGTACAGGTCGGGCCTATAGGGAGGGCAGTTTGTGCTTACGGTGGCGAGGGCCAGGACTGATATGGTGTGGTATCCATACTGTGGCCGGAGACCTGGCACCGCCTCCCCAGCCCCTGCCCAAGCCCTTCAGCTGCCTGCTCTTTTCCTTCAACATGAGCATGCTGGGAATGATGGTGGCTGGTGCAGCCCCTGCCCTGAGAACCCTGCCACAGAGCCTACTTCTTTTCCTCTTCTGCCCTGGCCTCCCAACCTCACCTACTTTCTGCTGTGTCCCCAGGTGCTCTGGAGCCCTAGCACCATGGATGCTCTCAATAGGAACCAGGTAGGACCTGGATGCAAGACCCAGGCCATGGTGCAGGTGAGTGGGGTCAGGGCTGTGAGGAAAGAGGGCTGTTGATAAGGATGGGTTCAGCGCTTCTACCCCCTTGTGGTCCCAGCCCAAGGATGAGAACAGCAGTTCTGTTCCTCTCTGCCCTTCCCCAGGTCCCAAGCCTATTAACAGCTCAGTCTTTATCTGAATCAGGTTAATTGGTTCACCCAGAAACTACCCTTTGAAAGTCAGAAAGCAGTTTACAGATTGACCCTGGGCTGTATCGCTCTCTTTGATTCATGCCTCATCCCTCTCTTGTAATTTATTGTAGCAGGGCCAAGCAATGGCCAAGTGAACAGCCACGGACGAGTCTGCAGGGAGCTCAATTGGCCCTCCTCTACAGTACCCCTCTTGCTTACCTAACGCCACCCCCCACCCCATCTCCTTGTTTCTGCTTTAATAGACAAAAGGGGCAGTTAAGCCAAGACTAGAGATAAATCCAGTGGGAAGAGTTAGTGGCCTAGATTCAGATCTAATTACAATTTAGTGGAATAATGCTCTGTGTGAGATTTTGTGCTAAGCCTTTCAGCACCCTCAGAGCCCTTTGGAGAAGGGCAAGGGCTGGAGAGAGTGCTGGTGGGACTGGGACTAGGGTGCTAAGGTGCTGGCTTGGAGTCTCTAATGATGCTCCTCCTCCACCCCCACTACCTGCAGAAAGGACCCTTGGACTTGATCGAGACAGGCAAAGGGCTGAAAGTGCAAACGGACAAACCCCATCTGGTGAGCCTCGGCAGTGGGCGGCTCAGCACTGCCATCACCCTGCTGCCGCTGGAGGAAGGTAAGAGGGGTCAGGGCATCCCACCTGCCACCCCTCCATCCTTATAGGCATTCCTGCCCTGGAGGCCCAGCTCTTGCATGTGTTGGGGCCCTTCTGCTGCCTGCTGGCAATGCTCACCTCCCACCTCCCCACCCCACCAGGCTTGCTTCTCTTGTCTCTGCCTCCCCAGACTGCCTGCCTTCTTTGGTAGATAACCTGACCGGGATTAAAGATCAGTTTAGAAACAAGAAGGAGAGCACTGAGAGAAACAGGAGAGCACATTGCTCTTAGCAACCAGTGTGGCCAAGAAGAAAGGGGGCCCAGGGCAATGCCTGGCTTGGGAGACTACACCGTAGGGTAGGTGGAGAATGGAGAGATAGGAGTGGGGGCAAGATAAGGCCCTGGCATGGCCCCCTTCACCTTTCAGCTTCTGTCCTCCCTCTCTCCTCTCCTGGCTGCACTTGTTGCCTGGGCGATACTACATTCCCCACATTCTCCAAATACCAGTCTCAGGGGCTCTGCCAGGGGGGGAGGGGCTGTTTCTGCAAAGCAGTTGGGGGAGAGACTGCACTGAAGAGAAAGAGAGAGTGAGGGAGGGGAGAGGTGCAGGTGGCAGAAGGGAGGGAGAGAAGAAGGAGAGAGAGGAAGATTTAGAAGAAAAGAGGAGTGGGTAGGATGAAGGGGAACAAGAAAAAAGGACATAGGGAGAGGCAGTTGGGGGGACTAAGGGAAGGTCTGCAGAAAAGAGGCCCCCTCTCTACTCTATGTGTGGAGTCTGGGCCTTCCCATGCTCAGGCAGAGTTTTCTCTGCTCCGGAAGAGCTTCTATCGGTTACCGTCTCAACCAGGCTCAGGGGCCCAATAGGGGTGGCCAGTGGCAGGCAGAGATCCTCCCAGGAGTTGGAGGTGGAAATATATTTCCACTGTGGCCCTCCTTGCCCTGTCTCTGCCTCCTCAGCCTGGACGACCCCTCTGACTCAGTTTGCCTCCTGTCTCCAGGGAGGACGGTGATTGGCTCTGCAGCCAGAGACATCTCACTGCAGGGGCCAGGCCTGGCTCCAGAGCACTGCTACATTGAGAACCTGCGGGGCACCCTCACCCTCTACCCTTGTGGCAATGCCTGCACTATTGATGGGCTCCCTGTCCGGCAGCCCACACGGCTCACTCAGGGTAAGGTTCGATACCCCCAAACAGAGGGGGGCTCTGTTTAAAAGCCTGTGCATGTTAGGTATAGGAGAAGCCTTCAGCGGTGGTTGCCATGGTAACGGCCTGAGTGGCCTGTACTGGAGATGGGGTGCTCAGGTGCATCTGGATGTGCCTAAACAACAACCCGGCCCCACCCCCCCCACCCCACATCCAGGCTTGTCTTCAACCTACTCTTCTCTCTGGTCACTCCCAACCCGCCTCCCCGCACCATAGGGAGAGAAGAGGTTCTGATTCCTGCTATCCGAGGGCCTGGGGTGTGGTGTGGTTGTTAGCAGCTGCTGGGGAAGAGCAATTGCAGTGGCAGTGAGAGGGTCTCACTGCTGTGAAACAGCGCTGTGGCACTGTGAAACAATGCCAAGAGGGAGTTGTTTTGAGAAGCTGGAGAGGAGGACAGTACTTCCTGATGGGGATGGGGCAAGGGCAAAATCTGATGGCAAAATCTAAGGACATGCCTTCTCCTGTCACAAGATTGTTGACAGGCTGGGCAGGTGGCTCATGCCTGTAATCCTGGCACGCTGGGAGGCTGAGGTGGGAGAATTGCTTAAGCTCAGGAGTTTGAGACCAGCTTGAGCAAGAGCAACACCCCATCTCTATTAAAAATAGAACAATTATCTGGGCATTGTGGCACACATGGGTAGTCGCAGCTACTTTGGGAGGCTGAGGCAGGAGGGTCGCTTGTGCCCAGCAGTTTGAGTTTGCAGTGAACTATGATGATGCCACTGCACTCTTTTTTTTTTTTTTTTTTTTTGAGACAGAGTCTCACTGTGTTGCCCGGGCTAGAGTGCCGTGGTGTCATCCTCACTCACAGCAACCTCAAACTCCTGGGCTCAAGCGATCCTACTGCCTCAGCCTCCCAAGTAGCTGGGACTACAGGCATGTGCCACCATGCCCGACTAATTTTTTCTATATATTTTTTAGTAGAGACGGGGTCTCGCTCTTGCTCAGGCTGGTTTCGAACTCCTGAGCTCAAACAATCCTCCTGCCTCGGCCTCCCAGAGAGCTAGGATTACAGGTGTGAGCCACCGCGCCCGGCCGATGCCACTGCATTCTAGCCAGGACAACAGAGCAAGACTGTCTGAAAAAACAAAACAAAACAAAACAAAAAAAAAACCCAAGACTGTTGACAGCTTTTAGGTCATGAATGGGCCATTCCGTTGTGTAAGGTAGCTCTAAAAACTGAGCTCCTAATTACAGTGGTTACTAGGCAGGTAAGGGGTTGGCCCAGGTGGCCCTTTGTCAGATCAGGTGTGTTCACTCTGGAAAGAGGGTTCTGGGCATCAATTTATCCAGTGAATCATCAACTCAGGGGAATGAAAAAAGATTTGGGTGGAGGTTAGAAGTGAGGTTAACAGGAGGATGGGAGCTTTGGGCTAAGCCTGGCTCTGAGCAGGAGGACTTGTTGGCATTGCTTTCTGGGGCCTCTTACAGGCTAAAAGCCCCTGTGCAGTGGAAATTCCACTCACTCCACTGTCTCCCTCTCTCCTGTTCACTCCCCTTGGGGCCTTTCAATGCCACTCCCTTCCCAGCTGATCCTGGAGGAGACCTGACCTTGACCCACTCTGTTCTTTCTGCCTTTGGGTGGGGGGCAGGGCATGGACAACTGACTTCAGGGAGGCAGGTCCACCAGCAGCAGCAGGCAGGCCCTGGTCTTCTCCAGGCTTCAAGATCTCTGGCGTGGTATGAGAGGGGGAACCCCCATAAATTGGGGCTTTGGCTATGATGGCATCTGTTTCCCGCCAATCCTGCTCAGTCTCAGAGAGAGCATCTTCTCCAAGATTTGGGAGCATGGAGGTGAGACTATAGAGCAGCAAGGAGAGGCAGGGCAAAGTTCAAAGAAGGCCCAGCCCTCCCCACCTCAGCCCCAAATCCATCACATTCACAGGCAAGAAGGTTCATTGTTACCCTGCATGTTGGGAGCAGGGTGGAGGAACCCATGTTCTGTGTGCCTCTCTGGCCAGTCTGCCCAGTACATTATTTAGCTCCCTGAGAAGAGGGAATGACTGGGGCCAAGATGGAATTCTGAAGCATTTTCTGTGGCCCCAGTGACCTTCCCACTCTTACCCAGCCAGAAGCCCACCCTGCCAAGTATGTACCCTCCCACTCTCTTCTGACCCTAAACCCCTTCCCTTTTTCTCCCCCCTCCCCATAGCCTTCTTGTCTGGGCTGGCCTGTCTCAGAAGCTTGGCAGCCTGTGGAGGGGTAGGCAGAGGCACAAAGGAATGGGTGTTCTTCTCCCCATCCTCCCCCTCCCCTGGGCTCCAGGAGTTGAGGGTTTCCTTGTCTCATCTCTGGAGCAAGGCACCAAGCCCAGCCCTGCCTGGCCCCACTCCGGACATTCTTGGGAGTGCGTTTCCTTGGAAACTGGGTGGCTCGGGGGTGCATGTGCTATCTCTGTGTGTCTGTATAACTGGAGTGTGTTTATGTATCTCCGGATGTGTTTGTGACTCTGAGCTTGTGTATCTCCGTGTTTGTGTCTTTCCTGTGTTTATGGATCAGTGTGTTCAAGTGGGCGGCAGGGGTGAGCTCAGGACTGATGGTACCAAAATGTCTGTGTGTATATGAGAATTCATTGGCCATATGCCTATCTGTGGGCATATGTACAAGAGAATCATTTTTCCTGTCTTGTTCCCCTAATCTGGCCTTGTAGAGGGGACCCTCCTCTTTGAAAGACAGAAGGCTACCCTAGGAATAACAAGGAGCCTGCTCTGGCTGGGCCAGCCCCTAGATGCATCATTCTGGGCACTGTGCCCAGCCATAGGCAACTTGGAGAGACACATTTCATGACAAGCAGAGATGGCAGTGACAGGCTCTTCCAGCAGGAATATGCCTGGGCCAGGGAAGGGGGGGAGGCGGGCAGAAAGCAGATGCCAACCTTTAGCACAGAGCTATGAACATGAGGGCATGAAGTGAGGGAGCCAGGAAGATCCTGATTCCACCCCTTGTACCCAGGCATCCTGGCACGTCCCACGCTGCCCTCTTCTCCACAGAGCAAGGGGTGGAGCTGGGAATAGAACTAAGGAAATGAGGAGGAATCTCAATCTGAGTCTAGGCTGCCCCACCCTGGGACCACAGTGCCAGACCACATGAAAGATCTGGGAGGGGACTAAGTGGGGGAGGACCCAGAAGGCCACACAGCTCAGGGCCCAGGCTGTCTAGACAGTAGGTCCCCATCTACTCCTAGCATTTGCTGCCAGCCCTAGTCTCCAAGTCTCCTTCACTCTCTAAGCCCCTCACTGATGGGTAGGGGCTTGTGTGAGGGCCAGTAGAGGAGCGGCTGAGGAGCCAGGATTCCTGGGTTATCCAACTGCCTCTTTCTGGGATCCGGGACATCGAACCTCTTACTCTGCCACCTAGTTATTCCTTCTGTAAATTGGAAGCGGAGCCTCCAACTTTTTCTCTGTTATAAGACTGATAAAGATCTTAACTAACAAGGCTCCAAGGAAGGAGAGCAGAGGGAAGGCTCCTAGCTTCCCACTTCTTTGTGTCCGCCTCCTGCCCTATTTCTCACTGGCGGGCATCCTCTGTGTATGCCTGGGTCTGTCCAGCTGGCCATCACAGTTTCCAGACCGATGAATCACTCTTCCTGAGATTTTTTTAAGCCTCCCCTCATTTTGCATTTGACCCTATATGGTTCTTCCTTTTTCCTTCAGAAGGGGAATAGATGTGTGTGCACATGTGAGTGTGTGAATGTGTGTGCCTACAGTTGACAGCGTGGTTAAGTGGGGTAGTGGGCTGTTCAGCAAGGGTGGAAAATTTGCCTGATTATTTCTCCAAGGAGGTTGACTTTTTGTTTCAGAGTCTCTCCAGGGACTGAGTGAAGGGATAGCTATGCCTGAGTGAGAGTGTCACTAAGAGGGGGGTTGGCGCCTGGGGGAATGTGAGCATGAGAATAAAGGTGTGTGAGAGACAGAGTAAGTGTATGTGTGTGTGTTTATTATTTGTTTATTTTTTTGAGACAGAGTCTCACTCTGTTGCCCAGGCTAGAGTGCTGTGGCATGATCCTAGCTCACAGCAATCTCAAACTCCTGGGTTCAAGGGATCCTTCTGCCTCAGCCTCCTGAGTAGCTGGGATTACAAGTGTTTGCCACCATGCCTGGCGAATTTTTTCTATTTTTAGTAGAGACGAGGTCTCGTTCTTGCTCAGGCTGATCTGGAACTCCTGAGCTCAAGCAATCCTCCTGCCTCAGCCTCCCAGAGTGCCAGGATTACAGGCGTGAATCACCGAGCCTGGCCAATTTTTTAATTTTTTTAGAGATGAGGTCTCGCTCTGTTTCCCAGGCTGGAGTGCAGTGGTGTGATCATAGCTTACTGCAGCCTTGAACTCCTGGGCTCAAGCAATCTTCCTGCCTCGACCTCCTGAGTAGCTGGGACTACAGGTGCATGCCACTAGGCCCAGCTAATTAAAAAAAATTGTTTTGTAGCGACAGGGTCTTGCTATGTTGCCTACACTGGTCTTGAACGCCTAGCCTCAAGCAAGCCTCCCACCTTGGCCTCCCAAACTGCTGGGATTACAGGTGTGAGCCACCACACCACACCAGGACATCAAAGAATGTGTTTAATGAGGCTGTCTGTGTGACTCAGAGTGCGCATAGCTGAGGTAGCGTCAGTGTGACTGAGCAAAGGTTGGTGTGTATCTGAGAGACAGAGTGTAAGGCCCTGTGAGCTGCTGAGCACATACAGTGTGTCCCATAAGGTTCTGGTGTCCAGGGGCCAGGTCCCTGGAGCAAGATGAACTTTCTGGGGGACCTGGCTGGGTGGTGGGTACCTGCCTGGCTCAGAATCTCAGTCTGACCCTTGGGGCTCCAGACATTTGTGTTTCAAAACCCCTATTGGGGTGGAGGACCCTTTGCTGGGGCTAGCACAACTAGAGATTGTGGCTGGGCATAGGTAGGGTTGACTTCCAGGGCCCTAGGAAGTGGGCTGGCTCCCCTCAGATGGAGAAAGGGGTAGCGCCTTGGTCCAGCCTGGGTTAAGGGGTGAGCTGTGGTGAGTGGGCCAGGAGTGGGGGTGTTTAGGATGGAGATAAGAGCATTGCATTGCACAGAGCACTGCTTTGGCCTGAACTCCCAGCCCAGGGTGATCTTGTCACAGTGGCAAGCTGCGGGCCAGAGTGGACCTAGTGACCTAGCTGGATCCTGTGGAGACCCTGCTCTTTTCCTGTCTCTCACATATGAAGCCCTGGAGTGTAAGAACTGCACGTCCAGCAGCGGTCAGTGAGGCCAGCCTCCTCATTCTGTAGATAGGGAATCCGAGGCCAAGGGGTGTGACTGGATGATGGTGATGCAGCCACTCAGGACAGGGCTGGCCGGGACCCCAGGCATCAGCCACAGACTTCCTACCTTTGCTCTCCTCAATTCTGCTCCCGCTCTGGACCCTCTGGCCTCTGTATTTACCCCTCACCTTTCCTTCCCTCAATTCACCTCCCTTGAACCTTTCCTCCCGCCCTACTTTTCCTCCTGCCCCTGGCCGCAGGATCCAGCCGGTTCTCTCCTCGCATCCTCCCGCTCCGCCCTCTCCATCCAGCTCTCCACTCTTCTCCTCCATCACTTCCTCTTCCCCTCCTCCTCTCCTTTGTCCCTCCCTCCCTGGCTCCCTTCCCCCGCCGCTGGTGGCCGGCCCGCCCCTCCCCGGGCTCTGGCGGCTGCTCGCTGCCTAGCTGCTCGCTCCGAGCGTGGAGCCTGGAGCGGGCGGCGCAAAAGGTCAGCCCGCCCCCCGGCAAAGGCCCCAGACGGGCCGGGAACCTGGAGGGCCGGAGCTAGCAGGGGCAAGCAATTCGGAGGTCCGGGTTCAGCGGTGAGTCCTCAGCCCCGGGCCAGCTACAGCCTCCGGGTAGCCGGGCGTGGAGAAGCTCAGGTTGGGAGGGGCGTCCTGCGGAGAGTGGGCGCCGGGAGGGGGATGGGGTTGGGGTCCTCTGCCCCTCTTTGGGAGCATGAGGCTGTGAGACTCGGTTGTCTGTGTGCTCTGAACATTTCTAAGTGGGGATTCTGGGCTTGAGAGCACTTCTCAGCGGTGCAGACCTCATCTTCCCCAGCGCTTGGCAGTCCCCTCCTTGGGACCCGCCTCCCTCCCTCGGATGGGGTTAAAGGGTCCTGGTTAGGATGAACGGAGTCTGTGTTATAGCCAAAAGGGGTCTCTGATGGGAAAGGCCAAGGCCCTTCCTTCCATCTTCCCTTCACCCAGCCTCCCTTTGGCCATTCCATTCTATCTGTGTGGCTGGGAGGACAGTGGCCATTGCTCTGTGAGTGTGTGAGCGTGTGTGCTTCTGAGTCTGTGTGTGGGTCTGTTTGTGCGTGGTGCTTCCCCTCTGCATCTCTCAGAGATAGGATCCACCCTCTCCTTTGCCCAGTTTTTCTCCTCCAGGTGTACAGCTTCTCCACCCACCTGCACACAGCTGGGCCCTGAGCCCCTCTGGGCATGGGGGGCACGGACCACAACTTTGGTTGGATGGGCAGGGCTTCCTGAGATGGCTGGCCTTTGAGGGTGTGGGGCAGGAGTGGGCAGAGAGGGGGCTTCTTCCCAGAAACAGGCTTGCCAGGCCCATGGCGGTTGTAGGGCCCAGAGCTGGGGCAATGCCTGGGGCCCCTGAGTGCAAATAGAAAGTTAATTTGGGCAGGAGCTGGGCTGCTCTCAGTCCTGTTGCCCTCTTGCCCGCTCTATTAATATGGATCCAGCTCTGCTGCCTGGCATCACTATTTATAGCCCAGGGGCAGCATGGCCACACCCCCTATGTGGGGGAGGGTGAAGATCAGAGGAGGGGGCAGGGAACTTAGAGCTATGGACGTCAAGGTGGAGGGTCCCTAGATGTTCATAGCCTCCTTGGGTGGGCCTGGTGCTGCTGGGCTGGAATCCACCCCAACTTCTCACCTTCTTCCCAGCCTAGACTGTGTGGTCAGGCTCCTTATCCCCACCACCCACTACAGTTCCCCCCCCC